AACACCCTGACAGTTAGGGCAGCTCTCATTCTCCTCAGAAAATAGTCTGACTTTATTTTTTTGAATAGAAGAAAATAGGACTGTTCAATTATAGTCTAGCTCCAATAGCATAAAGAAGGAAATTCTGAGCTTATTAAGTAATTATCTTATGCGTTTGGTGTTTCTCGGGAGTCACTGGGCTTGCTTCAAGTCTTGTTTGGGGTCAGACTGTTTGGGGTGAGATTGTCTTGAGCTCTTTCTCTCCTCCGATTTATAACTTTGCTGTTACATGTATTTGTTACTGGGGATATAAACTTATTTTTAAAACTCAACTAACAATTTGACTTGAATATTTTTGCTGTTTAAATTAACAAATGATTTTTTAAAAACAAAGAAACAACAAAAACCTCCACCATTTTTCTCTGTGTGACTGAATATTAGTAATCAGTACATGTTGTTTTTTCCAGTGTATTTTAAATTAAATCAGAGAGGGAGTAGTTCTCCTCTCTCTCCTGAGTCACGTGTGACGCTGCTTTGTTTTCAGTACCGCATCTTCCAGAAGAGAGAGATGAAGTTTAAAAATGCATCCAGACGCTAAATTTCTACCTCAGATCCTAGACACCAAATGCCCCATTAGTATGTGTTCATTTTTGTCTGTTCAGGTAAAAAAAGAATAATAGTTAAGCCATAATTCTGGTTACTTTTTAGAAAGATATACAACTTAGTTGAATTTTTAAAATATATTTTGATTGATTTCAGAGAGGCAGGCAGTGGGGGAGAGAGAGAGAAACATTAATGATGAGAGAGAATCATCCATCAGCTGCCTCCTGCACGCCCCCTGCTGGGGATCAAGCTGAGACCTCCTGGTTCATGGGTCCATGCTCAACCACTGAGCCACACTGGCCCGGCAAAAGTAAAAGTTATCTGAAAACAACTTGCATACATAGCCCATGTTTTGTACCTCAGCGGGTGATTTGAAAACCCCAGTGAGTAACAGAGGAGTTAATGGGTAAGTTAGTGGACAGGAGAACATTCAGTGCCTGTTCTTTGGTGTTGATATACACACAACAAACATAGCCAACATTTTCTTTTTGCCTTTTCAGTGTTTGTTTAGCGAAGGGGTACAATTCCTCAGGCTTTAGACATAAGATACCTCCTCGCCCAGATTCCACCGAACAGGCCCTTCCGTTCTCCTTCCCCCAGTGGAAGGCCAGACGCCGGCGACGGATTGAATCACATGAAGGCGCCGGTTGGAGTGGGTCTGAGTCTGGAGGAGGCGGCGGCCGGGTGGCTCTGAAGTGCCCTCCACATGTCAGTGTGCTGGCCTTTCCTCTGAGAAAGGCTGGAGGGCTCACAGGCGAGGAGCGAGGCCTCTTGTTGGGGAGGAGGGCGCGGGGAACCGGCCCACTTCCTGGAAGAGGAAAGAATTCCTATTGATTTTGACAGGTCCGTGGGCAGAGTTGATGGGTGCCCCCTTTCGCGCGGGTTTCTGGGGTTCTGGCTCGGAGCACACCCGGGGGGGGGGGGGTCCCTGCCACGTCTCCACGCTTGTTTGTGAGGACGATGGTGAAGGCTCCGCCATGGCTCCGCCGCGTCTTGTTCTGTGGCGTGGAGAGGCTTTCCTTTCTGAGAAACCATCCTGTCTTCTTTACATTCCCATCACTTCACTCCATTTCGGAGAATTTCCACATTATCTGTGCAATAATCTTTTTAAAATATATATATTTTTATTTCAGAGAAGGGTGAGGGAGAGAGAGAGAGAAACATCGATGATGAGGGAGAATCATTGATCGGCTGCCTCCTGAATGCTTCCTACTGGGGATCCAACCCACGACCCAGGCATGTGCCCTTGACCGGAATCGAACCTGGGACCCTTCAGTCCGCAGGCTGACGCCCTATCCACTGAGCCACACCAGCCAGGGTGTCTGTACAACAGTCTTCCCAGCTGGTCCCTTAGTGCTGACACCTTCCTATTGAAAAGTGCCAAACCCGCCCCTCTGGTCGGTAGTCACGATTCTCGTAATTAGGCGCAAACACTTTTCCCAGCTCTGTCTTGGAATCGTCACTTCCTAAGTGAGAGAATGAACTGACGTAGCCAGATTGCCACGTGATCGCACCAGATGTTTTCTGAACACTCTTGAGTGTTGCTCCGCATGTCTTTCCCTCGCACCGTAGCCCTGTCGTCCCAGAATCGTTTTCACGGCCGCCCATGGCAAGCTGACTCTACACCGCAGTCCGACATGACTTCTTCCCTCTGATACCGGCGTCTCGATGTCGGGGAGCAGGCATTGGACGTTTCCAGAAATTGCTATGGTGCTTCTTATTTGTCATTCTTAATAATTTTGAAAATTTTCGTAGCCTCTGACAATTTTATTTTGGTGTAAGGTTAGACGTGGAGTCGCCAGAGTGTTGAAGAGTCACTAAACGGTTTCATTGTCGGCGATCTGCTGTTCCCAGGAGTGGGACAGACGCTCGAGTATCGGCATCTTCCTGGGCCTTCACAGGTCAGGCATACGGCTCTGAGTCCCAGCTCTGCCAGTTATAGGCTGTGTGACCCTTTGGCAGATTATTTAACCTTTCCACCTAGGTCACCTTGTTTATCAGTTGCATTCACAACACATTCCTCGGACGGATTCAGAAAATGTGCACTGAAGAACCGTTCTCACGTGTCAGACATGTCTTGGTTGCTAAGGAGACACATTGAATATGACAAATGCAGTTAAATCATTGCGAATACTGTTAAAAGTATGCATTAAAGTCTATTTTTAAATGTGTTATTCCATTGCAGAATGGCAGTTTGATTCTCTTAAAACAGATTTCAGTATTCTGGTTATGTTTTGCATGGTTTCATCTATTTGGTTTGCCTTTTCTTTGCCTGAATTGTCACCAAGATTATTTTAAAGTCTTTTTCTGCTAACTTCAATGTCTGGGTCATCTGGGCTCTGCCTCATTTACCTCTTATTTTCTCAGATCGTGAGGCATTTAATTGTCTCTTCTTGTGCCTAAAAGTTTTCTTGTTTTTTTTTAGTGAGTGCCGTACGTCTTACATAAGATGAGTGGGGATAAAGAATAAATAGGAAGGCGGGGCAGAGTGCTGGGAATGTACCAGTGTCAATAAATACTGAAGGTGATTGTTGTTTATCATCATCAGTGGTCTGTAGTCTCTAATAATTGTATTTATGCTGGAGGTTATTCACGGGAGCCATGCGTGTGGTTTCAAAGACCTTTAAAAGGATTTCAGATAAAGCCAAAGGCAAAATAAATGCATGAGTTTCATAGCATTAAGTACATGCTACAATCTCTTTTTAAAACTGTATTATTAGTGCAGTTTTTTATTTACAGAAAAATTGTGAAGATTGTGCAGAGAATTCCCATATGCATCTGCACGCAGTTTCCCCTATTAACATTCGTATTTTAGCACCTTTGTTACAATTAATGAAGCTTTATCATTAACTGAGTCTGTTGTTGCTTCAGATGTTCTCATTCCTACCTAGTCCCCCTTTCTGATCGAGGATTTTGTCCAGAATAACATCGTACATGCAGTTCTCATGTCTCCTGAGGTCCTCTTGACTGATACAGTTGTTTTCAAATTATCCTTATTTTTTTCATGTACTTGACAGTTGAGGATTACTGGTCAGGTCTAAATCTCTCTTTGATTAGGGGAAAAAATGGCCCCGAAATATGAAACTTGTTATTTTTGTTCTTTATTGAGTAAATAAAGACACAGTTGCACCATTTTTGGACAAGTTGGGTTCAGCAGCCTCTGGATACCATGCGTGGGATTCGGAGCTGCTGGGTCGTAGCCAGGCATGTGGGAGGGCGTGGGGGAGGGGAGCTCGTCAGGTGGCCCAGGAGGATGTGTCCTGAGCGTCGTCCGCACCTTTGGTTAACAGGCTGTGAGAGAGGGTGACAATCAGCACGGAGTTCTTTTTTTTTCCGAATTTTTACAAAAGTTGGTTTGAGCCACGTCGGGGAACATAGGAGACTTGGTTGGAAAGTTTGTAGGAAAATTCTGAGAAAAGGAGCCCGCCCTGTTTATCGGAATTTTCCTCCTTACAAACTTGGCAACCAGGCCTCCGAGCACAGAGTTCTTCATACAGTTTCCCTGCAGACGTCGGGGAAATGACGAGAAAGAGCCCCAGCTGCTTCTAATTCAGTGTCACTGTTTTTGGGTGTTGTTTTTTTTTTAATTTTAAGATTTAGGTTTTGCCCGGCCGGCGTGGCTCGGTGGTTGAGCGTTGACCCTATGAACCAGGAGGTCAGGGTTCGATTCCTGGTCAGGGCACAGGCCTGGGTTGCCAGCTCAATCCCCAGTCTGGGGCGTGCAAGAGGCAGCCGATCAATGTTTCTCTCTCATCATGGATGTTTCTCTCTCTCCCTCTCCCTTCCTCCCTAAAATCAATAAAAATATATTTTAAAAAAGGATTTAGGTTTTAAAGCTTTTATAAGCAGTATATACGTCATTTACCACTGTTAAAAATGAAAATAACTTAGGGCAGGCTGTAGCAAGATGCCTTGTAAAGAAAATGATTACAGAACACTTACATTTTAAAGTTTAGTTTTCCAAAATTGATGAATTGTTCATTTATCCCAGCGGTTCTCAACCTGTGGGTGGCGACCCCTTTGGGGGGCGAACGACCCTTTCCCAGGGGTGGCCTACGACCATCGGAAAACACATTTTTAATCACATATTGTTTTTGTGATTAATCACTATGCTTTCATTATGTTCAATTTGTAACAATGAAATTGGGGGTCACCACAACATGAGGAGCTGTAGTAAAGGGTCGGGGCATTAGGAAGGTTGAGAACCACTGGTTTATCCATATGCCCTATACTGCACACTCCTGGATGTTGCATCCTCTGCGGGTTATTACTTGATGGGTCCTGGTGGGGAGCAATATTATTGAAAGCCTTGCATCTTTTATGTCTTGATCTCCAGCCCAATGACCTCAGAGAAGAGGCCTTAATTTGAGTGTTGAAGGGAGGCTGGCACGTCATGACATTTTATTTTATTTTGGCAGAACTATTATGGAGCCGCCAAGACGATTTTCTCGGACAACCCCCTTGGCCTGACCTGTGGGATGGTGTGCCCCACCTCCGACCTGTGTGTGGGCGGCTGCAATCTCTGTGCCACCGAGGAGGGGCCCATTAACATCGGGGGGCTGCAGCAGTTCGCTACGGAGGTAAGAGGTGCCCATTGCTTTGTCCCTCTTACAGTGTGGAAATGGGAAAGTGACTTTACACTCGTCGGCGCCGTGTTGATCTCCGAAGCGGTTCGTGTGATCACACAGCTAAGCTGTGCGTTGTGCCCCCGACAGTATTTTTATCCCACAACTTGACTAGAAAAAAAACATGAAATTTCATAAAACCATATGTCAGATGAGTTGCAGCCCCAGAAGGTTAATAAAATACTTTGACTAAAAGTCGCATACATTAGAGGATCTGGAAGGAGAATGTATTCATTAGCTGTACATGGGAGTGTTGAGTCGTGGGCCCCCTTTAATCTTCACAGTTTGAGATAACACGGCCAGAGGTTAGAGAATTTCCACAAACGCCCTGAAGACTCTTCATCGGGGTGAGGTTTTGTGAACTTACAGGTTTGAAGGAGGAGACGGCGAAAGCATTTTTCACTGTTTACTGTGGAAGGTGGGGCCATGGCTTCCTCTGTCGGGAACCCTGTGTAAATGACGTGGACTCCCCGGTGTCCCCTCTGCTCTCTGGGGTTTCTTGGGAGTCAGCGGCCAGGTCCGCTCCCATGTATCATTTAAAGGATCAGCTGCTACGGAGGCTCCACGAAGATTTTGTAAGCCTTGGGGTCCAGTTTGCTAAAAGGCCAAAGTAAATGCCTGTCAGCCCTGGATTTTCCATTAATGACTTCCCTCTCCGGCTCTGTCAACTTCAACCTAACGTCCTCTTTCCTTGTAGGGCCCCCTCCCCCCCATATCCCTCCAGCTTAAGTCTCACTTGGCTTTGGGTGATAAATCAGGGTTATTCCCCCCCTGCCTGCTGACAGGTCAATTCCCGGGAAGGGCTCCTGGGGATGAGAAAATAGAAACAATTGGAGGTTGTGAGTCGTTGCAATAAATTCTGGGATTTAATTTCCTTTCTCGCCGAGTGCACCATCGCACTGGGCGTACCTGACCAGTGCGAGGCGGGGTCCCCACAACCCCAGAGCACCCTTCGCTGGTGGAGAAGATTCCCTTGAATTCGCCCCCAGGTTTCTCTGGGGACCCACCGTCTCTTCATTAATCCAGGGCGAGCTTGCAAGGGTGGAGTAAGCCAAAGGCACGTGATCTGTATATGAGCTAACATCGCATTCCAAAGCAGAAGGAGTGAAAATAATATCATAAGGTTTCCTGTGACCCGGGGGAGAAAGCGAGAGAGAGAGAGAGAGAGAGAGAGAGAGAGAGAGAGAAAGAGAGAGAGGCATTCCTCTGAGATCGCTCACTTGGTTTTAACGGGAGTCCCACCAGCCCTTTCCGAAGCAGAGTCTATTTATTTAAGACACAGCACTGATCAGGACGGCATTCCGTGCCTGTTAAGTGAACCGTGGCATTTAGAATAGGCACGTATTTTCCAATCTCATCTCAATATACTTTGTGTACTTATGGCTTCAAATCAGTCTATGAAACCATTTAAAAAAAATCTCCCAGGGAAACTGTGGGGGCGAGCTTTCCATCCATTCTTGGAAGTTCACCGCTTAGGGCAAGTGATTCTAGAAAGTTCTGTCTTCTCTAAGTCCAAGGGCGGTTCGCTGAAACGTACCACCTGTCAGCAGCATTGTGAGGATCAGCAGAACACACACAAGGTGCTAACGTCCTGCCCGGGAGCAGGAAGAGGATGTGCAAACGCTGCCGTTCTTTCAGACTGTTGATGTGAGCACTTGAGCCGAAGCGGAGCAGGATGCAAACACGCTGCCTGCTTGGTTGTCTGAGAAAACAGATTGATGTGTGACCTTTCCGGAAATCTCAATCTGCTTTTTTCAACCAAATTAAGTAAAGGTTAGGAGAGCAGACTAAAATAGTGTGATATTTTCAAAATTGTTTTTCCTGTAACTTTTAATAAGTGATTTTTAAAATATCGACTCTGTAGTCTGCCGTTTTTGGTGAAACCCATTCCTTACACTTTCCCATTGGAACCTGGGCGTGCGACGTGGAGGGAGTGTGGTGGAAAATATGAGTGGCACAGAGGACGCCTGCAGCGGAGTCCGGAGGCCGCTGCCTTTTGTGGTGTGTGTGTGTGTGTATGTGTGTGTGTGTGCGCGCGTGTGTGGTGTGTGTGTGTGTGGCGTGTGTGTGTCTGGTGTATGTGTGTGTATGTGTGTGTGGGTGTGTGTGTAATGCGCGCGCGGGTGTGTGTGTGTGTGGCGTGTGTGTGTCTGGTGTATGTGTGTGTATGTGTGTGTGGGTGTGTGTGTATGTGTGTGTGGGGGGTGTTAGCCTTGTGATGTATGATAGTATCTTTTTCCCCCCTTAATTTTCTAGAGATCTCCAGGTCATCTTTTTTGGTGGTTCTCAAAGTTTGCAAGACTTTACAGGGGAGATTATACCTTATGAGAAGATCTTCATTCACCCAAACTTCACTGCCACTTCTCCTAAAAATGACCTCATGCTGATAAAGTTGTCTCTACCTTTCATCTTTGTCACTGAGTTTTTTCAGTTGCCTACTCTTGTGAATAATGAAGTTAAAGATTGCTTGGTTCACACCTGGTTACAGGGTGAAGATTATTTTGGTGAGTGACTGTCAAAAGGAAGAGTTAGTTGTATTCTTAGATATATTCACACCTTCAGACCTCTGAGGAATTAGGGGAAGGGATTGGAACTTATAGGCCCAGTGCCAGATTTCTAAGCACATGTGTGAAATTAGAAATGGAGAAACCATAATGGCTCCCTAAAGTAGAAGGGGCGGCTCTTTTAGGCCTTTGAGAATCAAATCCTAAATCAAGGGGTCACATGTGTATATCATATTGGCACATGCAGCGGGGGGCTGGATGCTGTATCTATGCTTGAGTGTTGGTCCTGCCATTTATTATAGGGTTATGGACACATTATTTAACTTATTTGAATCTTAAAAATGTGTGAAAATAATATTTTACCTTTGTCTAACAGGAGTGATATTGTTATAACTACAACATCAACAATAGATACCATTTATTGAGCACTAATTATGTACTAGGTACTAAGTCCCCTCCACATATTATTTGGTTGTCATCATACATCATGTTTTCTTAGGATTTATATCTTTTAAGTGAGAAAACCAAGACTCAGGGAAATTAATTCATTGTCTATGGTAACACACCATAGCTTGGATTCAGATCTTGCTTGCTCATTGATGATAAACTGAGCAGGAGGACATGTTTAATCCATGATGAGGTACATCAGTTCTTCTCTGCATTTCTTTTTTTGTTGTTAATCCTCATCCAAGGATATTTTTTTCCCATTGATTTTTAGAGAGAGTGGAAGGGAGTGAGGGAGAGAGAGAAACATTGATGTGAGAGAGACACATCGATTGATTGCCTTCCTCATGTGTCCCAACTGGGGCTTGGGTTTGAACCTACAACCCAGGTATATGCCCTTGACCTGGAATTTAACCCATTATTCTTCAGAGTGCAGGCTGATGCTCTAACCATTTAGATACACCGGCCAGGGCTACAGTCTATTTTAACCAAGAATAAATCCCAAAGGAGGAGGAGGCAGGATGCCTTATGAAAATGCAGACAGGAATGGAAATCTCTCTTATTTCTTGTGCTTAGGAAATCAAGACTATGGCCTGCACAGCATTCATATACAATTGAATCCTCATTTAGACTGCACAAAATTACTGGGTAAAAAATTCCCTGCACGCCCCACACAGGGGATCCAGCCCGCAACCCAGGCGTGTGCCCTGACCGGGAATCCAACCATCGACCCCCCGGTTCATAGGTCGATGCTTAACCACTGAGACACACCGGCCGGGCTATGAGATTATTTTAATACCCATTAAATGTGCTCTTTGTATGACATTACTTCTTGACACTGTACTTTTAGTTTAGTTTTTATACTTATAGTTGAGCATGGGACTGACACATGAAATTCCAGACCCCCTCAGGGCGCTCACTGAGAAGAGAAGTCCTTCTTAGGTGTTGTATGAATTGTATGTCTCAGCGCGTTTGTAATATCACTTCTCCCTTGACATGGCCCACCCCTTGTCCCAGCATTGTACACTGCTTACACACCATTGCAGACCATGTGCGTTTATTTCTATATTTTATTAAGTGAACGCGGTTCACATTCATTTAAGCAGTCCTTACAATACAATAAAAATACAGTATTATAGTTCAAACAGCCAGGCCTCATGCGAATACATGGAAGAACCTCGGACAGTTACTTAAACGACACCAGCATTTATGGTTTGCTTCGGTGCTACAATAATTAGTTTGACAAATTGTGAGTGAAGAAGGAACATGCTTATTCGTTCCTTTGTGACCATTTTACTAGGAAAAAACCCCAAACTTCTACCGTACCTTTTTGGAACAGGGAGGTCACGAAAAGCCTTCCACGTTTGCCTTGCAAAGCATATGCGAGGAGATTATAGAAAAATCTATACTAATACATAGCAGAGGATTGCATGTCCTCTCTCCAATAATGTATTTTTGTGATACATCCCGCCCATCATAGAAAAGCGGAGACAAAGAAAAAAACACACATGTGCAGTCCTCACATGGAATCCAGTTATCAAAGAGCAAACAGGAACACTGTGCGGACACCGAAATGTGAGCTTGGATGGGCTCCTACTGTATGTTTGTCCTCTGGGTTGCTTTGTAAATAAAATGATCAAACACACAGACACTTTGGAGAGGACGTTGCTAATCATGAACCCAGGGCAGCGGGAGCAAACAAGATCATCCCGGCAGACGGGCTGGCGTGCACACCAGTGCCCTCAGCTCCCACTGGGTAGGGTTCGATGAAGGAAACCAGCGTCGATTGGGCATCGCTGAGGCCCCAGTGTTGCTGTGAGCTGCTGAGCTACGGGGCCTGAGGCACGTTGGAGCTCCTCCGCAATAATACCAGCCAGCGACTGAAATGTCGCCGCCACGGTGGTGTGACGTGCGCTCACATCGTGCCCTTGGACTGAGGGTCCCGCCTTCATCCATTTGTGTCACTTGGTGTCGGAGGTGATTAGACGTCCGTGCGAAGAAAAGGATCGGGCAGGGGACGCGCAGCTGCGATAGATGACAGCGGCGTAGGGCGCCATGCGTTTGTGTGAGGTCTCACTTTACAGTGTGGAGAGCACCCTTCCAGGCACGTCAAGGAGGTGACGGGTGTGCTTTTTTGTTTTTCCATTTTGGACACGAAGAAACTAAGGATAAAAAAAAAATCGCAGTTAACACAGCCCTGTTGTCCTGGAGGGTGGCAGGCACGTGGAACTTGATGATCCTCAGTCAGAATCACCTGCGGGTGAGCGCTTGTCTCCATCTTCTGTGTACGGAGCAGGAGGCCCCACGAAGTTCGTTAACTCCCACAAGCTGGCATCTCCTAGGACAGGTCTGGAGCACACAGCCAGTGCTCCATCTGTGCGATGTCCCAGACTCACTGGCCCCAGGTAATGTCACAGTCACCTATCCAGCTCAGGGTGAGCGGGTCTCCTGGCTGCAGGGCCGGTATTCCACCTGGAGACGCAGCCCCAGGCGCCTCGGCCCCGCACACCAGCCTCCGAGCGAGGAAGCGCCTGCAATGACACAGGTTGTGTCCGATGAGCACAGAGGCCTTAGTCTGTTTCTCAGTGGATGCATGTTCCCCAAAAGCTTGTCCTCTTTTTCCTTCTGGCCGTCGAAGGCTGATTGTGCATACAGCCAGGTGCCAGGTTTTGTGGGGCCCCAGACGGTGAACTTCGTGCTTCATTTATGAAACATTACAGAGAAGCACGCACTCCTGCAAAATCGAAATCCAGGGCCTTGGAAGGGCCCGCGCCAGGAGTGCTGCTGAGGCTGGCAGCGGAGGTTTTGCTTTACGGCGGGAAGCCAGGGCCTGGCTTGGGGGTGGCTGGGCCACAGGCACCTCCAGGAAAGAGTCCAGCATGTTTATGAAGCAGTTTGACCAACTGACCGATCAGATCTATCAGCTCATGTAGCAGAAACTAAGACGCATCGCCATGACAATGAATGATAACCAGTATTTATCACTAATGCCTTTCACGGGTCATTTAGAAATAGGATCGTTGTTCCATTAATGTCACCTCACACTTGCCGATTGCCCCAAATCTGCATTGTCTCTGAATAAAATCTCTCCGCGCTACTATTTAAAACAGTAGTATGGAGAGATTTTACACAAAAAGAAGAGTGTTTCTGGGAGAAAAAAGATGATCATGAAAGGTATACGTTAGTGCCCTGGTGACACGCTACGCTTCGGGGTATCACTGTGAAGGTGTGATTTGTGTCTCTCCTTTCGGTCTTAGTGCGATGATTAGTAGAAAGGAGTGATGTCTTGATAGATTTCACTAAATATCTGACATTTTTCTCCAAAAAATCTTTAGAAATCTATTAAAAATACTCAGTGCTGGCACAATGGCTGATAATCAAACTGTGGGACTGAATGAAGTGCTAGCTGATTTTCATCGCAATATTTTAGGTTGTTTTAAAACTACATACGTGTACCTAGAGCTTTAAAGTATAAGGATATGTTTTGGAGGTTTGAGACAATAATGTTGAAATCGACCCGGATTGCTTGATGGTTAGGATTATTTGCTATTGGGCATTTTTTTTTTACTCTTGTGGGCACCTTGCAGTTTAGAATGATGGACTCTCATCGATTTGAGTCTGAGCAACTTGAAAATATGTGCACTTTTCTAAGTCTGTTTTATGAATAGTAGTCGTATAAAGTGATGACACTGTATCAGTATGAATCCCATGTAAGAGGCATGGGGCTCTGAGTGAAGATTTAAACCACTTGTTTGGCTCCCAAGTGTAATGATAAGAGAAATATAATAAGTCCACAATAAAAATTAATAGCTGAAGTCAAAAGGGAGATAGGAACCATTTGCGGCCAGAAATGGGATGGAAGTATTCAGCGGTGAGGAGAGGACTCAGGCCTCTCTCTGCTGGGCTCGGCATCACAGCCGGGGGCGGGGGCCGTCCGACCCAACTTGTCACCTCGTTGGGCCAATACAACTTCTAAGAAAATGCGCTGCCTGTTTCTATTAAAAACGCAAATGCACCTGGCCTGCGGGGCTCGGGGGTTCAGTGTCGACCTGTGAACCAGGAGGTCAGGGTTTGATTCCCGGTCAGGGCACATGCCGGGTTGCAGGCTCCATCCCCAGTGTGGGGCATGCAGGAGGCAGCCGATCCATGATTCTCTCTCATCATGGATATTTCTATCTCTTCCTCTCCTTTCCTCTCTGAGATCAATAAAAACATCTCTCTCTATATATATAAATATATATATATAAAAGCCTAAGCGACTGTTACGACCAAACGACCGGGCGATTGGAATGACAGGTCGATCAGTCGTTATGAGAGGGAAGGAGAAGCAGGGGAGCTGGGGAACCGTGTGGTGGCGGGGTACTGACGCCGCTTCAGCGTCCGGCACCCATTCCTTCTGCGCCCGGCCTGGTGATCGTCGCCTCCTCTCCCGACCCCACCAGGGCCTTCGGGCACCAAACGACCGGACGATTGGAATGACAGGTCGGTCAGTCGTTATGAGAGGGAAGGAGGAGCAGGGGAGCTGGGGAACCGTGCGGTGGCAGGGGCACTGACGCGGCTTTAGTGTCCGGCACCCATTCCTTCTGCGCCCGGCCCGGTGATCGTCGCCTCCTCTCCCGACCCCACCAGGCCCTTCGGGCTCCGGGCTGGGACAGGGATCTGGGGGTGAGTGGTGGCAGACCTCTCGTTTCCCAGGGGGGCCGAGGGCCAGCTCCCTCCTTGGGAGCTGGCGGCCAACCTCCCATGCCCCATCCCTCCCCCCAGCCAGCCAACCTCCTGTGGTCCCTCCCCGCCTATAACCCTCCCCCCCCCCAGAAGGCCCTGATCGCTGGCCAGGCCTAGGGACCCCAGCCTGGCATGAATTCCTGCACCAGGCCTCTAGTATGAAAGAAATAAAGATACACATACATTTGGAACATTAAAACAGTGCTTGAGGATGTGATTGTTTGATTAAAAACGGTAATGATGGCAACTGGTTTCTCCCTAGGTGTTCAAAGCAATGAACATCCCCCAAATCAGGGACCCGTCTCTGCCTCCCCCAGAGGAGATGCCTGAAGCCTATTCGGCAAAGATCGCTCTTCTTGGTGCCGGCCCTGCAAGTATAAGTTGTGCTTCCTTCTTGGCTCGACTGGGCTACTCTGACATCACTATATTTGAAAAACAAGAATACGTTGGCGGTTTAAGGTAAGGCCTGCATTTGTAGTATCAGCTATCCGGGGGTAAACCAGTTATGAATATTGTTGGTTCATAATTATAATCAAACTCCAGGCACACAGATGGTATTTTAAATGTGCTTTTTCCAAATGCTCACATTTTGATTTTGTTATTCAGTTTGAATTTGCAGTTGGCTTTAGGCAATATTTACTTTAACATTCCTCTGTCTCATTCTGTGAATTTAAGAGAAATCTCAGTAAAATATGTTATGGGTAGAGGAAGCAATCATATGAAAACTTACATCATCCCTGTGAGTCTGTCCTCTAGTGGAGGTAGGTCTGGAACTCACAGACAGTGGAGACGGGAAAGCCCAGCTCCATGGACCATTGGGCGGTTCGTTTTGTGGAGTAGCGGACACATTGTCCTGCTCACATATTTTCAGTTTAGTCTCCTACGTTTTGCATTTGATTAGGCTGGAGTCTACTAAAAATGTCTCATTTTCATGTACATCCACGCAGTTGATCTCATAAATGCCATAAATATAAAAAATAGTGTTTGATAGTAACCAGTATGATTATTGTGTTATCAAGATTCAGTCACGTGGTCTTTTATTTCCATGAAGAGGAATACATGGAAATGGAAAACGTTCATTTGTATCAGTGGCTTTCAGATATTCGAGCCGAGCCTGGAAATTGGATGGAGTTTCCGTTATTTAAAATACACGGAGCTCTGGAGTGGAGGGAGATTGCATTTATGATCATAAAGAAGAAAACTTGATTATAAGTAGGAAGTGAATATTGCTTAAAATATTTGGTGTAAAAGTGAGAAAGTATTTGGGCGGTAAGTTAATAATATGACTCAATTTATGGTTATTTTCCCTAAATATCTCATCTTGCTTCAGAAAATCATGGATTGTAATGTAAAGCCATTTTGCATATCTGTTGCTATACTTAGCACTTAAGTTTTGATGGCTACTGAACTATTTTTTTAAACAATATATTTTTCATATTTAATAATTACAAAGAATTAATTTAATCAAGCTATGGCTACAATGTGCGCTTATGTTTTTTTATGTTTTATGACAGCAAAAAAATATGTGTCAGCAAATGTATAAATCTCAATATTGCTCAAATAATAATATGCCAAAACAAAGATAAACTTGCATTAATGTAAAACTATTTGACTGAATCATCAGGAAAAAATATTACATAATAGGAAGACCAGTAAAAGTAGGTAAGGAGCATGAGCCGAAGAAAAAATAACCGGATTGCCAAGAAATAATTATTTTCGTATAGAGACGTTTCGCCACTATGAGTTTTAAGGGATTACACATATTTTACAAACTTCTTTATATCCTGGAAAGTAAAATACCCAATATATTATTTTGCCAGAATGCATTAGACTATCTCTTATAATGGCATTTTACTGCAGCTTTATTAATTAAGAGAAACATAGTGTATTAGCCAGATATGTAAGCATTGTACTTTTTTTCAATTATACACATCAATGAATACATGAGCTAATTTAAAAAATATGAACGTAAGTGTTGTGTACCCTAGTAGACTAGGAAAATCTTTTTGCCCTTAATTGCATTTGCACGAGCCTAACATGGAACAAGCCCAGTTTGTGAATTATTCTGTGTTGACAATTTTGGTAGATTATCATGGGTGTTAGCATCTCTCTCTCTCTCTCTTTGAGCTCAAATGCAGGCGAGACAGGTCTAGAACATCATAGAAGTTGACACTAAACTTGTGTTTCCATAGATTTGCTGAACATTGTCGAGTGGGACAGATTTTCCTGGATTCATGACCAAACATGTTATTTTTTAAAAATTCTTTCTTGATTTATTTTCTTCCCTTTCCCTTTGAATCTTCCCGGGAGCTGGGTACGGTGTGAAGTGCTGAATGGCCCTCCTTTGGACCCTCCGAGGGTGGTCACTCTTACGGGATTATCACCGCCGATGCTGGAAGTCAGCCCGGTGACAGCCCACACGTTCCCCTTCATTTATTTTCTCACTTACAGATGTCTTTCATCCTCTCGCCCCTTCAAAGTGGCTAAAAAAGATTTGATTAGCTTCGTATTTGAAATCAATTGCTTAAAGAGGGGATGTCAGGTCTTATCTTTCCTTTTCCTTTTCATCCAAATAGATGCTTTTCTCCCCGGTAAATTGAGATCCCAACTACCTTGTAGGAAATCACTCGAGCTGGTGAAGGAGACCCAGGGCAACACAACCAGCTGCTTGTCTGTGATGCCACAGCCAATGCGCACCCTGTCAGGAGAGTGGCTTTCCTCCAACTGCGGCTTCTCTTCCCCTTTCTCCCCAGGATGTGTGTTATCATGGGGACTTAAAAAAGGGCCGAGGACTTGATGTTGTCCTGACAAAGATACAGGTGGCGTCAGCAGGCTCTCAGGGTTCATGCCTGTGTGCACTCCCTGGTGTTGTCTTTTACTCATAAAAGTGAATGCCTGTGTGGTCAGTGCCAGATCCAACCACCTCCTTGTAGTACCTCCCCTTCCGCTTACTGACCCAGGAGACGCCGGCAGGGCGATCCTCACACATTGATTCATTTCACGCACGTGCTGAGCCCTGTGCTCAGTGCTGGCTGCCGAGCTGTGGACCATGGGAGGGGCCAGCATCTAACTTGCTTGCATGCCTCCTTCAGTTCTCAGAATTATACTTTGTGCCCGGCCGGCGTGGCTCAGTGGTTGAGCATCGACCTAGGAACCAGGAGGTCACGGTTCGATTTCTGTTCAGGGCACAGGCCCGGGTTGCGGGCTTGATTCCCAGTGTGGGGCGTGCAGGAGGCAGCCAATCAGTGTTTCTCTCTCACCATTGATGTTTCTATCTCTGTCCCTCTCTCTTCCTCTCTGAAATCAATTAAAATATTTTTTAAAGAAAGAATTATACTTTCTGCTTGCTCAGGTTTCCTCCCACTCAGTGGGTATGTCCTCCTTCCTTGTTGTCTGCTTCCTTTTGCAGAACCGTTTTTTTCCTTTTATACCAAACTAGAGACCCGGTGCATGAATTCATGCACAGGTAGGGTCCCTAGGACTGCCTGATGATCAGGGCCGATTGGGGCCTTCCTTTGTTCCACGCCGCCCTCTGGTGGTCAGCGCATGTCATAGCAAGCAATTGGTCTCCCAGTTGAACTCCTGCAGGGACAATTAGCATATTAGGCTTTTATATACTAGTAGGTAGATAGATACTTCTACCGAGATCCCATACAAATCCCTGGTGAGGCTGTGTCAGCCTCGCAGTGTACCTGCCTGTGCGTGGAGCCTCACCTTGCCGGCCGTGGCTGCTTTATTTGGCTGGAATTCTTTATTCACAGCCCCTTGTTTTTGCTTAGCTGTCCCGAATCGATGGATCTTCCTCAGACTGCAATTTCCATTCATTTCCATATCGCTCCATGCCTTTCAAGACAGGGTATCTGGCCCTGGCCGGTTTGGCTCAGTGGATAGAGCATCATCTCGGGCCCCGCAAATGATAGTGTCATTACTTTATACGACTACTATTCACAAAACATACTTAGAAAAGTGCACATTTTTAAGTTGTTCAGACTCAAATCGATGACAGTCCATCATTCTAAACTGCAGGGTGCCCGTAAGAGTAGAAAAATACCCAATAGCAAATAATCCTAACCATCATGCAATTTGACCATTTTCAACATTATTGCCTCAAATCTCCAAAATATATTTTTATATTTTAAAGCTCTAGACACAAATATATAGTTTTAAAACAAACTAAAATATTGTGATGAGAAATCATCTATCAGGCTGAGAGGGCCCAGGTTCAATTCCAGTCAAGGGCACATGTCTCGGTTGCAGGCTTGAACCCTGGCCCTGGGTCAGGGCACCTGCGGGAGGCAACCAATCAGTGTGTGTCTCTCACATTGATGTTTCTCTCTCTCTGTCCTTCCTCCTCCCTTCCATTCTCTCTAAAAATCAATGGAAAAATATCATTGGGTGAGGATTAACAACAACAACAAAATAAGACAGGCTACCTGTTGGTGTCCACATGCAATCCACATTGTTTGAAAACCCTTTTGCTTAGCCCTTGAAGACACAGGGAAGAACAAGTACCCTCTAGCCTCTTAGGTTTCGTGGCTGGGCCTGTGAAGTGAACTGAGTTTATCGACACCTGTATCGGGCATGCAGGTGGGAGAACTCAGTGGTGAGTCCCTCATAGGAAGGAAGGGTGTCAGAACTTGAGGCTTGTGTAGCTTGTTTACAAAAAACAGTGAGTCAGTGAAGAAGTGACCAGACCAGACGGAAGGGTGTTTGGGGGGTGGCATCCTGTGGGAAAGTGGCTGAAAGAGGGAAGCTCCTGGGAGACCAGGGTCATTGAGGTTTGTGGTGTAGATCTTTCTAGGGCAGTGATGGCGAACCTTTTGAGCTCGGCGTGTCAGCATTTTGAAAAACCCTAACTTAACTCTGGTGCTGTGTCACATATAGAAATTTTTTGATATTTGCAACCATAGTAAAACAAAGACTTATATTTTTGATATTTATTTTATATATTTAAATGCCATTTCACAAAGAAAAATCAACCCAAAAAAATGAGTTCGCGTGTCACCTCTGACACACGTGTCAGAGGTTCGCCATCACTGCTCTAGGTGCCCCCTGTGCAGATCCACGCCCAGACTTGTCTCTCGGTGATTCAGACTTCTGCCCTTCCTGGCTCGGAAAGGGAGACGCACCTGTGCGAATGTCTGTCCTGCTTCTAGGCAGAGAAGAGGGGGCAGGAGCTTTTCAGAATGTGTCTGCTTCTTCTCACCTGCCTTCACCTGAAGATAACCCTATTTCAACCAGGGATCTGGGGGTGGAATGTTCTGATAGATATCCAGAGCATTGTGAGGGCATGCGAGGGCCCAGGTGGACCGAGTTCCCAGGTCAGCTTGAGATTCTTATCCCTGACTGAGACCCAAAGCCCTTCTCACTGGAGTCTTGCATCCTAACTGGTCAGACAGCACCGTTAGTGAAGGCTTTGCTTTCACACTGTTAATTCCGTGGATTTTCTGTCACTCAGAGCACGGTGCCTTGCCTTGCTGATTGTTTGACGTAGAGAAATTGATTGAATAATCAAGTTCATAAGCCTAAGAAAAAGGCTGCGTGTGCGCCTCAGAAGACGGCTTTGGGCAACCCAGGGGCTTCATCTTCAGCAATTGCTTATTCACCTCACACTTGAATCTCTATCAGGCCTGGACGTAGCTCTCTCATGACATAGACTACATCCTTTTATAGTTATCTGTTTCTGGAACTTTCCCCACCAGCACGAGAGCTTATTTAAAGTGGGAATTTGGTAAAATTCACCATCAAATCCCAGTCACTAACACTGTGCCTGGTGCTCTGTACATGCTTGTTAAATGACAACATAAATGAATAAATAAAATATTCGTGGACACATATAGCTTGTTCATTATTGTAAAACACTGAAAAGTTAATTTTGCTTAGCTTTTCATTCCCTGAATTATTACAGTATAGAATGATTATACTTTATAAATAGTTTTTGTTGTGGTGGTTGTTTTTGTGGGGGGGTTTTAAGGGCGGACAGTAAGCCAGTACTGACATTCCTTATTTATGACTGTGTCCTTCGGGGATGCTTATTGCTTTCAGAGAAGAAGATGGGTTTACTACAAAAATGTTCTCTAGGTCACATGGAACTAATCCTGCCATGTCCTAAATGGCACAGTAGTACAGAGTCACAGATTTGAACATGAACAAGCTCAAACAGCAATTTGCAACCTCTTTTAGCTCAGGGCACACATAAACTAATTTCTACAATTCTGTGGCACAACAAAAAATACATTTTTTGCCAACCTGACCCCCCCAAAAAGGTAAAATTTTGATTCATTCATACCAGACAGCTGTTGTATTGGCTGTTGGTCATTTTTTTATTTGGCAAGTTAAGGGAAAAGAGGCCAGTGCCCCAACTAAATAGTCAGGCATCACATGTTTTAAACATGCTTGCAGCACATGTGTTGAAAACAGCTGAGCTAGAGGAATCTTTATAGAATATATATGAATGTACATATATGTATGATATTAAACATGACCTATACTTTCAACTAATTATTGGTATTTAACATTGCATTTTCTTAGGAATTTCTTATATAATTACTAGAGGCCCGGTGCATGAAATTCGGGCACGGTTAGGGTCCCTAGGCCTGGCCAGCAATCAGGGCCAATCGGGGCCTTCTGGCTGCCAGCCGGGGCCTTCCTTCGTTCTGCACCGCCCCGTGGTGGTCAGCGCACATCATAGCAAGTGATGTGTCTCCCAGTTGAACTCCTGTGGGGATAATTTGCATATTAGGCTTTTATATATATAGATTAGTAGACCATAAACTTAATAGTTTTAGAAATGCTTTTTACCAATTGTCTATTTATTATTTGTTTTTCCATAGTTTACATTTATTTATTTTTCACATCACTTTCTGCTCTTTCTATTATAGCCCCTATAATATTTTAATATTTTACCCTGTATATAAAAATGTGGACTGTAGTCCCTATAATATTTTATCCTGTATATAAAAATGTGGATGCCCCCACTGGTCTCATGTTCTGTGAAATGCAAACACCCTTCGAAGAGACAGTTAGTCTCTTAATATTGGTCAAAAAGACATGTTGCATTTTTAAGGTTGATGATTTTTAACAGGTGCTTCTTTTTCTTTTTCTCTTTCTCGTCCCCTTAATATTGGTCAGAAAGACAGATTGCATTAACAGGTGCTTCTTTTTCTTTTTCTCTTTCTCGTCCAGCACTTCTGAGATCCCTCAGTTCCGGCTGCCCTATGACGTCGTGAACTTCGAGGTTGAGCTGATGAAGGACCTTGGTGTGAAGGTAAATGAAAGACAACACCTGGCTGTTGTTCAGAGAGGAAGGCGTGGGCTCGCAGCTGCGCTGAGCAGCAAAATGCCACACATTGTGGGCAGAACAATTAAAAGCGGCTCCGGCGGCGGCAGCAGGATCTCTCCTTGCTCAGGGCATTTGTCTGTCTGCCTGTCTGAAGGCCACCAGCCTGGAAAGGGCGATCGATAGCGCTCATCTGGCACGCCCGCACGTGATTAATTGTCTGTGAGACTCAGATCCCTACATTGCTTTAGGGGTTCAGTGTGGAGGATGGAAGGGTTTGGCTTCTTTCATCGCGCTCTTGTTTTGTTTATCTGCTTTCTGTTTTTCATGCAACTTCCATGCTCTCAAACATTCGTATTTCACAATAAGGAACATCATTTCTTACCGAGGCTCGTTTTATTTATTCTCTGCATCATGCCAGGCGTGCCCATGTGATCACGCTTTCTCAACAGGAGCAGGAGATCCGTGGGGAACAGCTTTGTCTTTCTCATTGTTTTGTGGAATAAATATTGTGGTGTTCCTTTAGAGATGGTCAGAAAGTTAACACATTATAGGCTTAAAATGGAGCTTTAGGAACTCCTCTTCCTTTTTTAGCCTTGAGTTATGTACTTTTTAGTTTTTCTAGGTTGAATAACAAAACCATTTCAAATTATTCATTTCTGTCCGAGGAGACCCTTCTGGGCATCCATGTGTTCCTCTTACTGTTATGATTCTTTTCCTTGAGCGATTGTGGTTTTGTTTTTCCCTTTAACACGGAGTTGTTTAGGGTAATATTTTTCCTTGCTTCTGCATTCTTATGATAACATTCAAATTTTTATTTTTTTTACTTTACATGATCAGCAAGATATGCAATTTCTAATTTATCAAGTACACTCTCAAGTGATTTCTCATCAAAAGACCATTTCTAATAAAATAAAACTACTTTTTTTCTTGAGAAGAATTAGCCTCTTCTTAGCTGTTATATTTTTATAACATCTCTTGACTTTTATCATAACAAATTTAATGTAAGACATGGCAAATCATTTTTAATTTCAGGTGGACTTAATAAAGTCTCTTGTGATATTTGTGCCAGACGATGTTACTCATCTTTTAGACTAAATGCTCTTTTGTTGGTCTTGCAATTCAGAATGGGTGGGATGGGAACATTTTTTTGTCTCCTAGTGTTTATAATATTTCTAATGGCTTTAATTTTTAAAGCTAAAAATGTAAATCTGCATAAAGCTCTTGCATTTTTCGAAATACGTTTAAAACATGTATAGTGGCCATTTCTCAGAATAGGGTGAGAGCATTCTGTTTTGATTTAACTTAATTTGTCATTTCGAGGCGCTTCCTCTGCTGCATGATTTGAGTAGAAATACCTACCAGGTCTCTTTCTGGATGAGCTCTCTTCGTTGTCTTGTTTTCCATTACCGTTGCCGGAAGCAAGCATTTCCATTACAATAGGATGCTATTGGGAACTCATAACGTCTTATCAATATCTGCACGGGAAGGAGAGGAACGTGCAGCAATCGTTGACAAAATAATTGGTGTTTCTAAAGACAGCTAAATGTTTTAAAAACTCTTCCGGCTGATCTCCTGTCTCAGAGATTCTGGAAATACTTTATCTCTTTAGCCAGACCTCCTATCAGAGGCGTGTGGAGAACATGTGCACTTGTTTCCTGTGTGTGTTTATGGGGCATCACACAGCCCATTTACACACAGAATTCCCCTCCAAAAGCAGTTGTAAACCTTCATCCTACTTGATAAATATTACTCTTTTCAAAAAATGTATCTTCATTGTTGAAAGTATTACAGATGCCCCCCTTTTTCCCCATTGACCCCCGCCACCCCCCACCCACGTCTCCCCAGCCTTCACCCCACTATTGTCTGTGTCCAGGGTCTATGCACATACGCATCTGAGCTCCCAGGCTCATCTCTCCCACCCCCTATAATATTATTCTCAATGTGAATGTCTTTTATGGGCGGATAAAGGAAGTTGTCCTCAAGTCCAAAGTGGAGAGTAGATGGAGCTTTGCCTCAGGCCTTATTCTATGCAGCCCGTATATTGGATTAGCAATAACTCTTATGCCGACAATGAAGTGGAAGGAATCTTATTCTGAATTTGGCTCAGGTGTTTGCCCAGTCATGTGTCCCTAAAGCCATCTGAGGAAGCTATGCTATAGTCTAGAATCCACATCTATGAATATCCCGATGGCAGAACATTACAAATAGAAGAGTGCAGGGACTCACGGAACAAAACCGTGATCAGCGTGCCCACCAGGGGATTTTCCTGACGTAGTATCTGTTTAACCACTAATGATAGGATTTCAGAGTAGCAGCCCAGCAATGATTTTTATGTCGGCCATTTTATTTTATTTTTTTGGTTAATCCTCACCCGAGGATATTTTTCCATTAATTTTTAGGGAGAGTGGAAGAGAGAGGGAAAGGCAGAAACATCGATGTGAAAGAAACACATCGATTGGTTGCCTCCTGCACATGCCCCAACCATGGCCCAGGCTGGGGAGGAGCCTGCAACCGAGGTATGTGCCCTTGACCGGAATTGAACCCGGGACCTTTTGGTCTGCAGGCTGACGTTCTATCCACTGAGCCAGACCGGCCAGGGCAGTGTCTGCCGTTTAGAGTTCCATTCCAACGCACTACCGCGTGTGCCCATGGGTTATGCGTATATGAATGTAAGTCCTTTGGTTAATCTCTTCCCCCCGCCCTCCTGCCTTCATGTGGGGGTGACTTCCCCGGACAAGTACAACGTTTGGATGTTACAGTTGAGGCCCGGGGAAGAGGCTCACACTGGATCTGTGATCTCATGGAGCTAGACGTTCGCCAGGCTCCATTTCCTGCCTGGTCCCTGCAGGTCCCCGTCTGTCTTCAGGTGTCAATGACAAGTCTGTGTCTGAGGTCCTTGAAACAGTCACCTTGGCGAGCGGCCACAGCTCCCCGTGGAGAAGGGCGGGGGCAGTCACTGCGGTGGTTACGTGCAGGGTCCTTCACCTTGGACCCGGCCACCTCTGCCGTCGGCAGGTTCCCGTTCTGAAAATTGGCTCCTGCCTGGGAACTGAGCAAACGATTGTGGCTTTTAATAGGGGTGATGCCCCTCTGCCTCCTGCCTTTCCTCATCCTCCCTGCACAGAGCTCCCTGTCGAGCTTCCAGCCCTTCTCTAAAAAGGTCCCAATGAAGTCCTACCGCCTCTCGATTCTCGTCTCTCTGACCTTCGCCAGAAGGAATCTCTCCATCCTCCCAGCGCCCGCAGACCGGGGCTGGTCCCACTGGTTTATGTTGTGTTGGTTTATGTGCATCTTCTGCACGGTTCTTAACTACACACTGAGGCAGAAGCTGTCTCGTTTGTCATTTTATCATCGAAAGTGCCCCCACGTAGTGCTTTGAACATATTAATTAAGCTATGAAAGTTTACCCACTTGGCTTTACATACACTCGCTTTTATCTTTGCTACTTTTATTAAAAGGCAAAAGAAATGCATTTAGCCCTTAAGTAAAACGTGTTAGTGTTCCACTTCTAACAGACAAACATATTTCCATACGTTTGGAAATATATATATATATATAATCTCCAGTTCTTGTTCTTTTTGATGTTGAAGATCAAGATTTTATTAATCAGCCCGTCTGGTGTGGCCCAGTGGTTGAGAGTCGACCTAGGAACCAGGAGGTCACCGGTTTGATTCCCAGTCAGGGTACAGGCCCGAGTTGCGGGCTTGATCCCCAGTGTGGGGCGTGCAGGAGGCAGCTGATCCATGATTCTCTCTCACCATGGATGTTTCTCTCTCTCTCTCCCTCTCCCTTCCTCTCAGAAATCAATGAAAATAAAATTTTAAAGTATTTCATTAATCAAAATTCCAAGTGTCATTATTCACATCTTGTTTCTTACAGATAGTTTGTGGCAGGAGCCTTTCCGTGAATGACATGACTCTGCACACTCTGAAAGCAGAGGGGTACCAGGCCGCTTTCATTGGCATCGGTGAGTAGCTTACTTTTCAATATTGTTCTTTATCATATTTTTAAATTTTTCCTGACAGTATCCAGAACAACTGCCTTCAGACATGTCCATGGTCAAAGTTGCGTCTGTTCAGAGAAGAGCAGACAGAAATGAGTGGAGATTGTTTATAACAAAGGTGCTGTCTCCGCTTTGTTGGGGATGGACGTTGGCGAGGCCCTGTCTGCCTTCCCGTTCTCTCCCCGGCCATCGTCACCAGCCAGCATCTCCAGGAACTAAAACGTGTCCTGGGCCGGCCATGGCAACTCAGCATTTGGCTGAGAGCGGTTGACATGCTCTAGCTTGCGCTCTATGATCAGACAGATGGGAGGAAGTGATAATGAAGGACGGAATTGGCTTGTCTTCCTGCCCTCTTCCTTCTTTCTTTACTTATTTATTTATTTACTTATTTATTTATTTTTAAGAGTTCCTAAAGATTGTCCGTATATGGCTGACTTTTACAGATGTGTAACCATAGTGCCGTTAAGGTCGTTCACAGGTCTGACGGTCCCACCTTTTGCTGACACATCTCAGGGAGGTCGAGTTTTCTAACATGGATCTCTGTCTGCTGATTGTTTCCTGAGGGGCCAGAGAGAACAGTTGGTTCAATTTAGCCTTCATCTCGTGGCCTTTGCCGTCATCCTCTCGTGGACTGGGCTGTGGGTGGTTAGTGGCCCACACACGGATGAGGCCCGTCCTGGTGTCCTTTGGTTTGTCTGTCTCGTCCTCCGTCCACGCGCGCGAATATCAGCCTCTGCCTGACAGAGCTACGCGGAGGTGACAGCTGTTCCTTCTCTGAGCTGATCACACGCTGGGCCCGTTGTGGGGTCGGGGCCTGTCCATTGCCCTAGCCCAGTGGTTCTCCACCTTGGCTGCACATTAGAATCACCTGGGAATCTTTTTAAAATCCTGATTTCTGGGTCCCATCCTCCGGAAATTCTGTTTCTTTGTTACTAATGTTGTGGCCCCACCCCATCACAAAGAAACAGAATTTCCGGAGGATGCGGCCCAGAAATCAGGATTTTAAAAAGATTCCCAGGTGATTCTAACGTGCAGCCAAGGTTGAGAACCACTGCCCTGGTCTTTCCAGAATGAGGTCATCGGCAGTGCTCCTCAGCCCGCCTACTCAATTTCCTTATCGGGATGCCAGGCCCTCTCTTTCTAGATCATTGCTCCCAAGTCTAGGGCCATTTCTGTCCCTCTCTTAGTTTCAATGAAAAATTAGAGAAAAAATAAGTTTGCCCTAATTTCTAGCCTCCGAGTATTTGCAAGGAGCCTCCTTTCAGAAGCTCGCGTGCCCTTGTCCTCACTGTTCCTCTGTGTTAACCTGTATGTAAATGCAGTAGCCAGCCCGGAGATCAGGAACTGGAGGGAGGCGAGGTCTTCACTGTCCCCGCGTTCCATGTCCAGAGGCTTTAGCGCAGCGGTTCTCAACCTGTGGGTCGCAACCCCTTTGGCGGTCGAACGACCCTTTCACAGGGGTCGCCTAAGACCATCCTGCATATCAGATGTTTACATTACGATTCATAGCAGTAGCAACATTACAGTTATGAAGTAGCAACGAAAATAATTTTATGGTTGGGTCACAACATGAGGAACTGTATTGAAAGGGCCAGAAGGTTGAGAACCACTGCTTTAGAGTGACTGCGGTTTTGCTTTTCAACCTGACAGTTGAGTGGAGGATTTCACGTAAATAAGACAAGTATCCATCAGGTATATTCTACTGATACCTGCAGCATGAGACCAGTAATTGCTGTTACTCTCCACAAGCGCGCGTTCAGAAATGCTCGGTTAGTAATAAATGGAGAAGTTCGCCAGGCAGGAGGTCTGAAGTATGGGTGATGTTTTCCAGCAGTTGTTGGAAGCCCACCGTTGTGGTTCCTCCCGCGGTCCTGTGTTGGCGATATGCTTTCCATTAGTGGAGTTGTGCGGGGCAGGGCAGTTTTGTGTATCTCTATGGATGTTATCTTCAAAGCATCTCTGTACCGAAGAGACGGGAGCCCAATAAATACCCAGCGTGCTGAAATAGCTCCGCCTTAGCGGCGCAGGAAGCAGATTCCAGGGCACGTCCGGGATCATGAGACGGGTTGTCGCTCCGAGTGTGTCGGCCGTAGCGTTATCTTCTACTTGTGAGAATCAATAGTGGTTCCGTTTTCCCCCCTTTCATTTCATTGCATGACGTCCGCTTACATATGTTATTTGATCATGCGACATCCGCGCACGATGCTCCATTTGACTGGGCACCGCGGGGCGAACGCAGCGCTGAACATGCGGAGACCTTTCCCATTGATGCCGCTGCTTGTTTTCCTGCTGGGAGCTGGCTCTTTTGACATTTGGTGTAGTGATGAGTAGAATGCACTTATGTTCTAGTTCAGTATTTGATGTGGATATATACAAGCAAGTCCCATCTCGTCAAAAAAAAAAAGAAAAAAAGGAAGTGTCTGTGTGTAGAAGACAGGGCGCCGCCTCCGCCAGGAATTGTTTCTGTTATTGAGCGTGTCACGGCAGAGGTGGGAGCACGTGACCTTTCTGTGACCACGCCACTGTCCGCCCCCTCCCCCTTGGACAGCCTCACGTCCTTCCTGCCCTTGCACGTCAATCTTGCTTCTGCTGTGATGACCCTCACGCACTGCTTCCTCTCCCTTTCCCCACTCCTTTCGAGACGTCCGCTTTGCAAAGGGCATTGTGTGTTATTTAGGACACAGGTGTGGCCACATTAAGGAAGTGGCTTAAACAAAATACACATTTAGTTCTCTGTCATCTAACCCTGTGAACCATCCTCAGTGCCTGATTTTTAAAAAAATATATATATTTTTATTGCTTTCAGAGAGAGAGAGGGAGAGAGAAACAGAAACATTGATGAGAGAGAATCATGGATTGGCTGCCTCTTGCACACCTGCCACTGGGAATCGAGCCCCCAACCCGGGCATGTGCTCTTGACCGGGAATCGAACTGTGACCTCCTGGTTCATAGGTCGATGCTCAACCACTGAGCCCTGCCAGCTGGGCAGTGCCTGATTTCTAATTTTGGCCCGTAGGCGGTCACTTTGGCCACATTGCTGCTAACAGAATGGGACATAGGGGAGCGAGCCCCTTTCTTTTTAAGTTCCTTACCCAGACATTGCATAGGTCACTTCCATTTTTATCTCACTATCTACAACCTGGTCCCTTAAACATGCCTCACAGCCAAGGGTGTTGGGAAATGCAGCCTCTGGCTGAGTGGACGCCTTCCCCCATTAAACTCCTATTACTATAGGAAGAGGGGCTGGTAGATAAGTAGAGCAGAAGAGAAGGTCTCCGCCATAGCTCAGCATCCGCCTTGGTATTGACACACGAGTTTCTTATTGAGAGAGATCGGTGACGCGCTCAATAACAGCAAAGGCTTTGCTGTTTGAGCTTAGCGCTGGCGTGTTGTGTAGGCAGATCACGTAATGAAAATGGACTGTTGTGTCTTTCAGTAGTTGGAAATACCACATTGTAGATCTCTCATGTTTATAATCACCGTCCTTCCGCGTTAGTTTAAGAGAACAAGGACTCTGTTATTACATAGGATTTATTAGTTTAGCTTAACAAATCCACGGCCTCAACAGGAGTGTGCTGTCACGTATTCTGACTTTAATATTGTGTGTCGCTGCTGCTGAAAGGTTGATCACTTTTAGGTTCTTCTTCTTCTTCTTCTTCTTTTTGTTTTGTAACTGAGGCTAAAGAAATGATCTCATAGTGTATAAATCATGATGGGACTTAAAGGGTTTTCTCTCTGTGCACCGGCGAGATTTCATTTTTTCCAAGAGGAAAAAAGATAAGTGAGAGGAAACTCTGTGTCTTATTCAAAATAGATTCTGTTGTTTGGAGACAATTGGGATTTTTTTTTAAGACTCTGAAATTTGGTACTTTTATTGCGATGACAGCCCCAGCAGAGTCCGATCGTGTCCGTGCTCAGAAATAGAGTGAGAACATCCGGCGGAAAACGGCTTTTCACAGGCCCGGATGGTTCTCTGGGGTTGGTATTGCAGTCAGTGTAATGAACTGCAGCCACCATTTCTTTTTTTTATTTTATTTTACAAAAATGAGCACAAAAGGATAAAAAAAGTCAAAGTGTGTGGCACAGGCTGGGGTAGGAGCTGCTTTGTGAAGAGTGTTTTTCAGTCGTGTGTGTGTGTTGGTTTTGGGTGTGTGCGCTCACACACGCATGCTGCATAATATGAAAAACGTATTTTTGAATGTATCTTAATAGTCAGCATGTGAAAGCCACCACTGTGTGTTGTAAAGACCCTGAGGTACTAAAACCTTTTTCCCATAGTGCGACCAACGCCTGTCAATGGCTGCGGAATGAATTAAGTAAACACGGAATGACTGCACGGTTCCAGACTCTGTGCTAAAATTAAACAGAAAGAGAGATGAGTTCGGCTTTTAGCTGGATTTTAATTTCAGGAATGAAGGGTTGACCCCTTCATCTCTGCTTCAAGGGAGCTCATTTTCTTTATCTTTTCTGATGGCCCATTTTCTGCTCAATTTTAATGTAATTTCTATGATTAACTCTTAAGATGACCCTTGAGGTGGATATTATTAACTCTATTTTATGGGTAAAAAGATTAAGATGAAGAAAACTAGTAAACAGCAATGAAAACATGCAAAGTGAATTTTGTGGAGACGGTAGGAAACGTGACAAATGCAAATATCCGTACTTCCACATAAAAAACTGTTGGAGACACTGACTCGAAGCCAACGAGTTCTCTGGTGACGGCTGGCTAATCGAGGCGTCCAGCTTAAGGATCCTGAACGTGCAAGAATGAGCCGTCACTAACTAGAAGTCTCTCTTTTCTCATTGTGGACACCAATTGGTTTTCTTTGGTTACCATCAGAAAAGAATATTTTTAAACTATGATGATTCCCAAATAGTATAACAGCTGAAGAAGAGATAATTACAATTAAGAAAGCCCATTGAGAGATTATGGTATTAAATGTGCTACAGTGTGGCCTTTCTTT